GGAGCAGCGCAGCAACGCGCCCGCGATCCCGCCGGGAAGCGCTCCATCCCGCYGGGATCCCGCTCCATCCGCCTCCGCGGCCGGGGATCCCATCCGCAGCTCCCGGCAGCAGCTTGCTCCCAGCAGGGCGTCTGCAGCTCTCCGCAGCTCCGAGGTGCCCGCGGGGACGCCGCAGCGCAGGGGCCACGCGGCRCCTTCGGGCTCGTGCTTTACATTTTCAGGAACAAACATAAAATTCAGATTCTTGTTATCTCACCATTTCATTTAAATGAGACTTTTTTTTTCATTTTTTTTTTCAACCACACAGATTTTTATAAACAAAAAGAACCGATACAATGTATTAAAACACATAATAACAAGAGTCTACATGTAAAAATATAACTTTTACATACACAATTCCAAAATAATGATACGTTTGCCATTTGTTGCATAAAATTTACAAATGTATTTTTTTTTTCTTCATTACTCTATAACTGGCAAAACAGGAGAACAGATGGAACATTTAGACCGTCTTTGATGGATTTATGGCATTTATTCAGTGTTGATAGGTGGGAAATCTACTCGAACAGGGAGATTTCGTTTAAAATACATGCCAGGTTGGTGTGGCCGCAAAAAATAGAAACGGGAATGGGAGACAAAAGGATGCCGACAAATACTGAACTAGGAGCACGACCGGTTATCTGCACTGCACACCAAAGTCGAGCGGGATCGGGGTTCACTATGGAAGTTGGTTCAGTTGTGCCCAGACTTCAAAGCTAGCGATGGGATGAGCTGCGGAGCCACCGCGGGAGCTTGGCGGCTACAAACGCCGCTCGGACTGGCCGGAGAAACCCTCGACCACTGCCCCCCTCCTCGCCAAAGTGCAACTTAATGCTTTAGGACTCATAAGGCTTGTTGTAATGCTGCAGGATGGCCGCAATCGGCTTTTTTTTTTTTTTTTTAATCTTTTTTTTCTTTTTTACAAAGAAAGGAGGAGGCAGCGAGTGGTCTACACTTAAATAATCCACTAAAAAAAARAAAGAAAAAAAAAAAAAAAAAAGAGTCGCTCGGATCTGTCCTCATCACACTACTTGCAATTTTCCCGCTTGGTGCTTTTCTCCCCCCAAACCCGCTGTCCCCCCCCGCCCGCCCGCCCGCCCCCCGTGTCCCCCCGCAAATGAGCACGTATCCAGCACCCTGCGGCGGGGCGCCGCGCACAGCCGCGTGGATGCGGGCCGGTGTGTTCCCGGTGAGATAAACATTGGAAGGCACAGTGGTAATTGTAGCATTCTAACCTTGTACCTCGGAAAAAAACCCCGGCAAAGGGGCGGCGGGAGCGGCGGCCCCCGGCCCGGCACGCTTCCCTCGCCAAGCCCGGGAACGGCGCCCCTGCTATCTACAACATGACGTGACTAGTATTATTATTATTATTATTTTTACATTTTTTCCTCTTTTTTTTTGTTCTCTTTTTTTTTTTTGTTCTCTTTTTTTTCCCTTTTTTTTTTTTAAATTTTTTTTTTTAAGTCCTGTGTCTCCCCCGAAAGAACAACTCGCTACTGATTTCGTGAATGAGAAGCAACGTCAGGGTCGGCGCTTGGGCCTGCACTGCCCCTCCGGAGACAGAGTTGGCACTACAGGTCGCGATAACAAAAAAACAGGGGAGAGGGACGGAAATAAGACAAAAAAATCCTTATTTACAGTAAAATCTTCTTCTTTAAAAAAGTTAATCAGTACTATTTTTTTACAGGAGCAAAAAAGTCTGAAACAAATGAACAAAAGCTTACCATATTCACTAAATTTTTAATATATATTTATATATATATTTATATATATATATTTGTCATAGGTCTATAAGATCCATCTGTTCCTCCTACCCTAAGGAATGGCTAATGTCATCGCTTCAGTTTTCATTAGGACGTTTGCTGGTTTTGTAAATATCTGGGCAGCAAAGCTTCCCTTTAATATCCAGTAAGTATAAACACTAGCTGTCTAGCACACCAACAAAAACGCTCATTTTTTTTCTTCAGAAGTACACTTTTTCATTATTGCAAGTTTACAATTTTAAATTAAATATTTTTTTCAGACTTACAAATTAATTATATTTTTTTTTCCAAAAGAAGTTTAGGCACAAATGCATTGTCCCACAGTGTGGAGAAGATTGCCATTCAGTCTCTAGGCTGTGCATCTACAGCTCGGAACATACTGCTTTAGACATTCTGAATGATATGTTAAAGAGAGTCGTCCCTCAAGTTGCACTTTTTGTGTTTGTTTTTTTGTTGCTTTTTGTGTTTTTTTCTCGTTTTTAATAATCGGGAATGCTGAAATCTCTTGCGTCTGTGATTCTTAACTACTCAGACTTGTCTTATATTACAAAAAAAGGGGTTAAGGAGAAGTGTTTATGTGGGTTTAAGATAATACAGCTGTTAAGGAAGTGGTCTCTTGTTTAAATGAAGAAATGTGGCAACTTGGACCTGTGGAAGAAGTAAAAAAAAAGTGAAATCAGTCAAGGATAGTTGAACACGCACAAATACAGCCTCTTAAATGAGGGATTTGAACATGGCCTTGGACATGAAGCGTGCTTGCACGATGGCTTGGCAATTGTTTGGATAGAGGTGGGTCTGTTCCCCCTACTTGGCTCATGCTTGGTCCCAGCCCTGGCTCTGAGGAACCGTGACGAGGAGGAGGAGGAAAGGAAAGAGAAGAGAGGAGGAGGAGGGAAAAGCAGAGAAGGAGGAGAGGAATGGAAGGAGAAGAAAGGGGAGAAGGAGGAGAAGGAGGAGAAAGAGAAGAAGAGGAGGAGAAGAACGAGGAGGAGTAGAAGGAGGAGGAGAAGAGAAGAAGGAAAAGTAGGAGGAGAAAGAGAAGGAGGAGAAGGAGGAGAAGGAAAAGTAGAAGGAGAAGAAGAGAAGGAAAAGTAGGAGAAAGAGAAGAAGAATGAGAAAGAGTAGGAGGAGGAGGAGAAGAAGAGGGAGAATAAGAAGAGAAAAAGGAGGAGGAGGAGGAGGGTCCTACGCAGTAGCTCTGCCCCAGCTCACTGTCCTGCACCGAGTGCTGGGGAGCTGCTAGTACCGGCACTGCAGGAAATCCACTTGCCTTTTTTACATCTGTCCCATGTGATTGGATGCATCTCCCATGCCAGGGTGGGGACCCGCCAGGGAAAGCGGAGGAGGATCTGAGGATACTTTCTCTTCTTCCCTTCTTTTCAGACATGCGGCTTTAGGGTTCAGGTTTCTTTCTGTTGAATCAGAGCAAAAGGCAATCTCAAACATTCGCATTTTTTACCCCAAACCAACCCGCTCATTGCATGCACACTTAAAACAGTGGATGCACCGGTTACGTGTCGCAGTCTCCTGCAGGTATTTAAGGGGCTGGAATTGGTCCCACTTGGCCTGGTGACGTTTGGAGTGGCACCGAGTGCACCTTGGCCCACCAGCTCTGCAAACACCTTCGTGTTTGTGCTTTGCAAACCACGGTGGCCTGGCCAGGTCTGAGGCACGTCGGGCTCTTCACCCTCTGCACCCCAGCAGAGCTGCACCAGGACGAGGGAGCAGCGTTTTCAGACCCTGCTCAGCCCCGTGCAGAGCTCCAAGGCTGCTTGCACACCAAGGAGCAGCCTGGACACCATGCTAGCACCGCGCCTGTCCCTCCCTGGCCCTATGGAGCAGCTCTATGGGAAGGGCTGGAAAACCTCCTCTCCAATAGCCAGGAGACCTCATCTCCCTCAGGTGCCCTCACCCTTCCCAATGGGGAAGCCAAGGCTTGTCTCCATCCTTGGCTTTTGAGGCCCCTATCCAGGCGTTCTCAGGTTCCCAGGCAAGTGTGTTTTGCACGATGGAAAGCAAACCCGGAGGGGCTCAAGGCCCCGGCTGTCACACTGACCTCTGACTTGCTGCTCTAAGCTGAGGATGACGGCCACAGCCTGGTGCAAGATCAGGAGCTTGGTCTGGGGCTTGTCGCTCTTCAGGTGGAGCTGCACCATGCGGCCCAGCTCCTTGAAAGCCTCGTTGATGTCGCGCACGCGCAGGCGCTCGCGGGCGTTGTTGGCCATCCTCCTCTCCTTCTCCCGCTCGGCCTTCTGCTCGGGCGTCAGGTCTTCGTCGTCGTTATTGCTGAAGGGGCACAAGGGGACAGCATTTTCCAATGGGGTGGGAAAACAAGCGCTGCAAAGGGTTTTAATAGACTTCACCCCAAAAGTGCACAGGACAGTGTCCACGTAGAACTGAGGCAAAGAGCATCCCCAGCACCTCGAATATTCAACAAGCTTCTGCATCAAACAGAAAAATTGTGGCCAGGAGACCTATAGCTGAAATCCTGTAGCTATTATAGATGGTCTTCTGGATAAGGGAAGCCTCCTAAGACTGCCCTAGCAAGGTCAAAATGGCAATACTAAAATATGAAGGACCTACAGGGCACAGGACAGGCCTGTCATGTCACTGTCACACCAGCTCCGGAGCAAACATCTCCCAGGCTTGGACTCGGTGAAGGAACCCACCGACATCGCACACGGGGCAGTGCAATGGCCATGGGCAAGTGGCCACTGAAGGACTTCAGGGCTGTACAGAGCCCTGCCATTGACTTCTGCATTTTATCTGCAGCAGAATCACTTTCCATACGTCCAAAGTCATGATTTTAAACTGAAAACATATTAACTAGTGAGTCACTGGCACTATATAATTTGAATTGGTTATGCAAGTACTGTAATAAATTTTCAGCAGCCCTAACAAAATCGACACAAGCATACAGCTAAATATAAATATAAATATAAAGGAGTAACCTTTTAAAGCTGCAAACATGTTAAAAGAAAAAATGTTAGCCTACAAAAGCTTCAAAGCACATATAAATATGCATAAGTGGCACCATGTTTGTTAAATTAACTGGCCCTACGATCTGCTTACATCAGCACAAAGGCGCTTTCTTCTCACCGTATCATGCACGGACATGAAAGCCTCCCTCGTACATGGGGTTACTGCGAGACACTTTGGGAGGGATGATCTCGAGAGTCACGTATCTGCCTTCAGCCATAAGGGACGTGGCTGTAATTAATGGGGGTGCCAACCCGGGAGGTCTCATGGCTCAGCCCTTCCTCTGGGGAAAAGCTCTGCATGGCACAACCAGTGTGGTTCTTATCTTGTACCTATTCTTATATAGAGAACAATATAGATATATATCGTTTTTATATAGAGAATGATATATTCCACCACTTTATATAGGTGGAAGGAGAAAGGGCGGAATTTCCATTTGTTTGTTAAAAACAAAGCAGTATTGGGCCAGCTTATCAGTATTCTCAGCATCTGTGTGATGGAGGTAGTTTGGGAGGATGAAGTGAGGATGAACCTGAGCCTTCCTCAGGTCCTTAGGTGAAATCTGGGTAATAGAATTTTGCTCAGGGCCATCAAGGACAGGAGTCCCTGCATGACAAAACCCAACTTCACTAATACTTTCCAAGCACTTATGAAAAATATGCAGAGCAAAATTTGTTCCCCTGGCAGATATATTCAAGCATTTCACCACCATTCCCACTGCCATTGCTAGGACATGGACCAAAGGGAAGGTCCATCTYCTTCCAGCAGATGCAAAGGGGCCAACTGTGACTGATCCCAGGAAACCCAGGGGTTTGTGGAAACCGAGGAGTGGCTGTAATGGGTTCATTGCAAAGGCAAAAGCAAAGGGTTTGTTATTTCAGGTGTGGATGTGGCCAACCCTCGGGCACGGTTCGAAAGGCAGGAACACACTCTGGGCACAGGCAAAGAGCAACAACCGCCCGGCACATTTCTTTTAGTGCAATGCAATTTCTTTTGTAGATTGAGGAGAACTTGCTCAGTGTCCGAATTGGTGAATTGTCCGAATTTGAGGAGCTCCTGGAGTACAGGGATCCGAAACACGCTCGGTACTGCCAGGTCAGCGTTATGCTCCACTTTCACGTGGTTTCACCTGCCGGGAAGAAACTTCGGAGTTTCTTCCTGCTCTGTTCACTTCATCGAAATCCAGTAAAGGAATTAAATGAAGCGACACTATTATATACTGTTACCTAGATCTTGACCTAGTAATTGATTTGATATCCTTCTTGTCATCCTCTAGTTTCTTGTCCTCAGAAGACTTTGTGTCCTGGAGGTTCTCGTCTCCCTCGTCGTCGGACTTGATTTCGGAGCTGCCGGACGAGACGCTCTGCCCTTGCAGGCCGGCGGGCATGCCTGGAGCAAAGGGGCAGAGACACGGTGAGGGGCACGAGGTGGTGCCCTTGGCTCCACGGCCTCACAYAGGGACGTGGGGAGGACGTGGGCAGCTCTCGCCAGCAGCGTTTGAGAGCTGAGGGCCTCCCTGTGACCTTCTGGAAGAGATCTTTCCTCAGGTCAAGGGAGGTGATTCTGCCCCTCTACTCAGCTCTGGTGAGGCCGCACCTGGAGTACTGTGTTCAGTTCTGGGCACCCCAGTATAGGAGGGACGTGGAGCTTCTGGAGAGGGTCCAGAGAAGGGCAACCAGGATGATTAAGGGAATGGAACATCTCCCGTACGAAGAGAGGCTGAGTGAGCCGGGCCTGTTTTCTCTGGAGAAGAGRCGGCTCAGAGGGGATATGATTAATATGTATAAGTTCAGGAAGGGAGAATGCAGGGAGGAAGGGGACAGGCTGTTCTCACTGGTGGCCAGCGAYAGGACGAGGGGTAATGGCCACAAGCTGAAGCACAAGAAGTTCCGTCTCCAGGTGAGGAGCAACTTCTTTACTGTKAGGGTGACAGAGCAGTGGAACAGGCTGCCCAGGGAGGTTGTGGAGTCTCCTTCTCTGGAGGTCTTCAAAACCYGCCTGGATGCCACCCTGTGCCACATGCTGTAGGTGTGCCTGCTKGAGCAGGAAGGTKGGACTAGATGATCTSTAGAGGTCCCTTCCAACCTTGAACACTCTGTGATTCTGTGAGATGCTGGCTCCAGGGAGCAGCTAAGCTGCGCCGAGGACCGTCCTCATTCACCCACGTGTCACCAGCAAGGAGCCCGCGTGGACGTGGGCCTTGTCCCCGGCTCTGTCTGCGTGTGAGGGTTTGGGGAGGGAGGGCGGCCCTGAGCGTGTGCAGCGAAACGTCATTGTGGCAGGTGAGAGGGGTCTTGGGGGCTGCCAAAGGGGTCATGGCCATAAAATAAAATAAAATAAAATTGTAAAATAATAAGATAAAATAAAAAAAATAAAATAAATTAGTGAAATAATAAAATAATACATAAAATAAAATAAAATAAAATAAAATAAAATAAAATAAAATAAAATAAAATAAAATAAAATAAAATAAAATAAAATAATAAAATAAAATAAAATATAAAAATGAAATGAAATGAAATGAAACGAAATGAAACGAAATGAAATGAAGCGAAGCAAAGTGAAGCGAAGCGCAGCACTCACCCCGGTAGGGATCCTGCGGCGGGTTGAGCTCGGGCGAGGTGGCCGACTGCACGGGCAGCTGGGGCACGGGCACCTGGTTGGGCACGAGCGAGTGGCTGCCGCGCAGGCTGACGCCGTCCTCGCGGTGCGCGCCCACCTGCGGAGAGAGGCGCGAGGCCGCGGTGAGGGGCGCCGGGAGGAGCRAGGCCGCGGTGAAGGGCACCGGGAGGCCGCAGTGAGGGGCTCTGGGAGGTCGTGATGAGGGGTGCCGGGAGGCGCGAGGCCGAGGTGAGGGGCACTGGGAGGCATAAGGCTGTGGTGAGGGGCTCCAGGAGGTGCGAAGCCACGGTCAGGGGCTCCGCGAGGCCGCAGCGAGGGGTGCTGGGAGGCCGCGGCGAGGGGCTCGGGGAGGCCGCGGCGAGGGGCCCTCAGGGCCGTGGTGAGGGGCTCCAGCGGGCACGAGGCCGTGGTGGGGGGCTCGGGGAGGCGGCAGTGAGGGGCTGCGGGCTCGGGCGGGCGCCGCTCCGCGCTAGAGGGCGCAGGCAGCCCGCGCCGCCGCCGCCGCGCGCAGGTAGGGACGTCACCGGCGTCTCCCGGGCTCCGCGCCCATCTGCCTTCCATCGCGTCCGCCGGCGGAGCTGACAATTATCGTCATGCCCATATGCTTTAATCGCGGGCCTCTCCGTTCCCCCACCGCTCTCGGAAATCCGGCAGGAATTTCAATTTGGCATCCGGCTCCTGTCTCCCCCTCGCCCGGATCGCTGGCGAAGCCCCTGACAGCGGCTGCCGCTGCCATCCGCCTCGCCGCAGCCCCCTCCAAATTAGCACCCGCCGAGGGTAAGACACCAAGAAGAGCCAAACCGCCAGAAATGGCACCAAGATTTGCAATAAAAATGCCCAGAATGGGCAAAATGGGAGGCGCGAGCTGCCGGTAGCATCTACAGCATCTCCATGCATGGAGTCCCATGCTCGTTCTGCGCCGTCTTGCACGCACAGCTCCCCCAAAAAGTCTCCTAAGCTCTTGTGCACATAGAGAAGATTGAGGAATGTTCCTCATCAGACTTGCAAGATAATGTACTTTAATTGTTAGCAGCAAGCCGAGACCACAGGAAGAGAGATAAAAGGGAATCCTGCCAAGGGGAACTTGAGAAAATCTTCTACTACTAGACGAAATGCAAATAACCAAAAGCAAGTGTAAAGTCGGAGAGACAAAAACTCTCTTCTTGCTGAGACACTTTAATTTTAAAAATATGGCATGCTAAGAAAAGACTGGAGCTGACATTATTTGGTTGCAAGGAAGAATAGCTGCTAGGAGATATGTTTAGAGCTCTGCAGCTCTGCTTTCTTAAATTACAAAGTGATAAAGAGAATGTAATGAAAATCATGATGACATTGTCCTGGGAGGAAGTGCCATTTAGCACTCCTACAAAAGGAGAAAAACACTCGTGGAGACGGCCCTGGGCAACTTGATCCCACCCTGAGGTTGGGTCTGGCTTCAAAGCTGCCCTGCTTGGAGCAGGAGGTTCATCCAGGGGACCTCCCAAAGCCAATCTCAGTTTTAGTGCGACACTATGAAAGTATTGTGCAAAAACCATCAACTTTGGAGGCRGAGGAAGCCAAACCAACATGTGATCTCACTTGGGGCCGGGCTACAACCACCCATCCTCAGGGAGRACCCACGAGGGGCTCCTTGCAGCACGGCGTGGAAGGACAGACGGACACCCTGGAAGGTGAAGGAGGCGGGAAGAGCCTCTCTCATCCCCCGCCTTCGGGAGCTGCAGGGGACCCTTCTCAATGGGCCACCCTATGGGGACGTGAGAGTTATCTGGTCCCAGCTCCCGTCTCGCCCCTTTCATCCCATCCAGGAGCAGCCACTGAACACCAGCGATTTTCCAGACTTTTTAAAGTAAAATGTTGAACCCACATGCCAAAAAAAAAAAAAAAGGCACGATACTACGGACATGAAATTTTAATTACAGTTGAAAAATCAGCCCCAATAATAAAAGCCTTCCTCACACTTCTCTTCCTGTAGTTTCTCTAGAGATCTGGGAGATAACCCAGGATAAAAGCTCCCAGTCTGTATTTTCTCTTTTACAATCGACAACTGTTTGCTCAGATTTGTGACTATCTTTTGCTCCCCCTGCAAAACAGAAACCCTGAGAGCTCATTTCAGTCAGCAAATGTGTCCTGCAGTCACCCCTACCCTATGGAAAGAGAAGCTCCTGCTGCCGGATTTACTTCAAGCAAGCCAATTTCTCCCTCTCGGTGAGTGGGAGGGAGGTTTCTACTCGGATATGATCCCACTTTGGGCAGGGGGGACTTGCTTCGTCCCTAGCCCTTGGCATCCTGCAGCAGAGAGGGATTCGCTCCCGGTCGCGGATCCCTTCCAGACCCCCTACAAAACCCACACCGGGCAACTGGCGCTCCACAGCTCGCTCCTCTGGATAATTTATTCCTGCAATGACAGGCATTTGCAAGCAGCAAGATCACACCATCATGAACTTTTATCCTTAATATATTTTCTGAGGTACAGAAATCAACCACCCGTTACTCAGGAGCAAGCTTGGCTGAAAAAGCCCATGTGAGAACCAGGAGGGAGACAAGGAGCCGGACAAGGCGCTACCACCGGGTCCTGTCTTCTCAAGAAGAAGGAAACCTGCTTATTCCAAGCACTCATGCCAGCAGCCTGCAATGTTACGGCAGCAAGGGAAGAATTGCAAAACTGCAGCAAACCCACCCGCGAGCAGCACCTCAACCTCCTGGTGCTCACGTGCATGCTCACCAGCAGCACTGCAGGGCCCGGGGGCCAGGAGAGGACAAGGGGCCATCGTGCTCCTCACCGAGGCAGCAGGATGCAAAAATGCTGCATTTCCCTCCTCCCTCGCCTTGTTTTCTCTGTTGGATAAACAACAGCTTCGCCCAGAGGTAGAGCCCAGATAGGAATCGTTCTCCCCAGCCCAGGAGTGCAGATCTATAAATAATACTTATCTCGGAGAATCAAACTCCCTTTGAAGTTCTATTAATATTTGATTTATTTCCATCTCTTCAAACAGCCCCCTACTGCAACGCTCAGCAGGTCGGCGGGGAAAAACAACAACAGCAAACAAGCCCCGAGCCCACCTTGGAGGCAGAGATGGGCTGGGAGGTCGCGGGGCACATCCCCGTCCTCACCTCCTCTTGAGACCATCGTCCCGCACACCATGTATGCGTGCACATGTGCACRTTCATATATAACGTGCAGATAATTCAGCCCAAGGGAAAAGCAAGGAGAAGCTCTAATCTTGGGTGATTCTGACTATTAAAGGCTAAAAAACCCTCAAAAAATCAGTCTATGGGACTCTAGCGTAGGTTGCTCCATAGGCGTCTATGTACTAGCTTGGTAGGCAGCACAAAAACTTGGCCAGGGTTTGTATTTATGTTCATATTAGTATTTTATGGCATTTTAAAACCCCAGAGAGCTGGCAGAAGGTTAGGCTTTTCCTAACTTTGCACTGTAATCTCTATCTATGCAGTATATGCGGTGGCTTTTCCCGTTATGCTAATGCACACGCCCTGCAGACTACCTGCACGGTCTACAGATTCATCAGGAATGGGAGCCTATTTGAAAAAGCACTTTAAAATTAATTCGCAAGCACTCATCTATTCCTACGACAGATGTATATACCTGTAATCAATACAGATGCACAAAAGATGCCACGATTTTCAGCAATACTTTGCCCAAAGTGAAGAATAGCTGCTTTTTGCCAGGTAACACAGGGTCTGGGGAGACCCCCTTTCCATGGGGATGTGTGAAGGTCCCCAGTGTTTCTCCACTGCCAGTGCAGCAGATTTATACTGGCAAACAATGCTGATGCCAGGCAAACTTGACTATTTCTACTCAAAAATAAATAAAAATAAAATAAAGGCACACTTTAGTTCTTGTTAAAGAGCTAAGAAGTGAAAGGTTCTTTCTTTTCTTTCTTTTTTTTCTTTTAAAAACTAGCCGTTTGGTTGTCTTTTAAGAAGCTTATTTCATCCTCGTCGAAACGCAGAGCATTTGCTTTGGCAGTTATTCAGTTTTTATTAATATTATCTGCAGGGGTAAACGCCTCCAGCCACCCAAGCCACCCGTCAGCTATTTCAAATGCAAAGCACAGGGAAGTTGTGRCTTCTGGGAGTGGATGATGGGGGCCAGACCTGCAACAGACTCATTTTACCTCCTTCATATAGAAAAATTAAAGCACTTTTCTGCAAGGGGGCTGCTTCCCCAGGTGCYCCTTGTACAGGGCTAATCACCACTTGAGGAACAAAGCACTTCTTTCAAACGCCCTTCTCCAAAAGGAAGCTATATTGGGGAGCAGAAGCCACGTATGGGGCAGGAGGACAGGTGAGCACATGTAGATGAGGAAGATCCTGGCTTTTTCGGCAAAAAATGGAGAGAAAAGCTGAGTTCATGCCCCGTGATGAGACACAGAGCCGTGCTGGTGCGTCTGGACTGTGCTCTCCCCATGCAACATCAATTATACTCGACAGCCCCAGCTGGAGCCTTAAATCATCATTCCCTTCTCTTCCATGGCAATGAGGAGGGGATCTCTTCTCCCCCGGAGCAAGAAAGCCCCTGCTTGACCCAAAAGTGCAGTGGTAGGAACGGTCACACAAGTGAGTGCTTCCTCATTGCTGGAAACCCCAAAGCTCCCGCTGAAGGCTCCCTGGATGGCCACTGCCAGCACGGCTAGCAAGGGGTTCTTCCTCCCCTGCCAACACAACGAGCAAAGGCACAACTTTTAAAACCGGTGACCTCGTGTTATCCAATTAGATAAATAAAAACACGAGGCAGCAGAGTTGTAAGGTGATGCATGTTAACATGTGTCCAATATTGTCAGAATTTATAAGTCTGACAGAAAGCAGATTTGCGCAAAGCCYTTATAAACCTCCACGGCGATATTAAAAAGGGAACAGCGCGGGGCACTCTGGAACAAATGGTCTCTCACTGTATGTGTGTATTATCCATCCAAATTATTCACTCTTATTTAACTGCACTGAAGTCTTTCATSTCCATGCTATACAATAATAGTTTCCATATGACCAGTGGCTTAGCTATAAATAAGATCAAAAGCAAAAGAAAGGATTTAATAATAATAAAAAAAGACATTAAGAGTGGCATTAAATCAGGAAAAA